TTTGTTTTTTTAAGAAAGGTATAATTCTGATGGCCTTGAAGAATGGACTACAGTTGGGAGAGGCAAGTGCTTGGGAATGACTAAGGTGGTAAGAGGTATGCAGTGATAATATATGCTTACTATGTGACCCAGCAATCCCACTTATAGGTATTTTCCCAGGAGAATCGAAACCATATGTTTATTTGAATACCTGTACACAGATGTTTATGGCAGCTTTATTAATAATTGCCAAAAATTGGAAACAAATGTCCATCAACTGTTGAATGGATAAATAAGTTGTGGTGTGTCCATATAATGGAATGCTGCTCAGCTATAAAAAGGAATGAACTGCATTATTGGTATGTGTAACAACATAGATGAATCTCAAAAGCACAATGCTAAGTGAAAGAAGCCAGTCTCAAGAAACTACATATTACATTAATTTAATTTATTTGACTTTCTGGAAAAGGCAGAAAGCAGACAAAAATAAGATCAGTGGTTGCCAAGGGTGAGAGTGTGACTGGAGAAGGGGCTCAAGGGAATGCATTTGGTAAAATTGTCCTATATTTTATGGTGGTGTTGGACAATTGCATATATTTGTCAAAGCTCACCAAAATGTACACTTTAAAAGGGAGAATTTATTGTATGTAAATTATACATTGATAAACCTGCCTGGAAACAAAAAACAGTGATAGATGGATGAATCTCAGAAACATGCTAGATGAAAGAAACCAGAGTAAAAGAGTATATACCATATGATTCCATTTATATGGAATTCTAGAATAAGCAAAACTAATCTATGGTGAAAGAAATAAGACTAGTAGTTGTCAGCGATGGGGGAAAGGGCAGGGTACTTACCAGGAAACAGTACAATGGATCCTTTTGCGGGTGATGGAAACATTCTGTGTGGGTTGATGGGCGTGTGCGTTACATGGGAATGTCCAATTATCAAGACTTGTCAAGTTGTACATGTAGATCTAACCATTTCAATCATATGTAAATTATACCACAAAAGGGAATAGAGAAGATTAAAGAGAAAGAAACTGGCCGGGCGTGGTGGCTCACGCCTGTAATACCAGCACTTTGGGAGGCTGAGCCGAGTGGATCACCTGAGGTCAGGAGTTTGAGACCAGCCTGGCTAACATGTAGAAACTCCATCTCTATTAAAAATACGAAATTAGCCAGGCATGGTGGCTCCTGTTTGTAATCGCAGGTACTTGGGAGTCTGAGGCAGGAGAATCGCTTGAACCTGGAAGGTGGAGGTTGCAGTAAGCCAAGATCTCGCCATTGCACTCTAGCCTGGGAGACAAGAGTGAAACTCCATCTAAAAAAAAGAAAAAAGAGAGAGAGAGAAACTAAAGAGAAAGATTGAAGACAAAGAAAGAGAGATAGAGATTTGGTGATATCTTATATTTGGGAGGTGGTAGAAGAGTGTTTCTAGTTTGGAGTCTGGTGGATGGGGATACCATTCTCCAAGATAAAGAATAATAGCAAACCAAATAGTTTTGGGGAAAGAAAACAAGGGCTATTTTGTTGAGTGCTGAATGCCTATGGAATATCCTAGTGAACATGTCCAGAAGGAAATTTGAATTATGGATTTGGTGTCCAGAAGACACTTGGCTAAAGATGTGATTTGAATATCATCATTATCATCATATTAATTGTGGCCAGGAGAATACATGAGATTGCCTAAGGAGAAAAGTAGAATTGAGAAGAAAGGAGACCTGAGAATGTCACCCTGAGCAAACCTACCATTGAATATCTGGATAGAAGAGAAGGAAGGAAAGGAGGAAGAAAATCAGAAGAGAGCAGTGTCCTGGAACCCAAGGGAGAAGAAAGCTCCAATAAGTGAGGGATGGTCATCAGTTTCAGATATTTGGGCTGAGCAATAAGGTAGCCTTTGGTGATCATATTGAGGATAGTCAGTTATTAGAGTAAGAGCAGAAGCAAGTTCCTATGGGCTGGGAATAAACAGATATTAAGAAGTTCAGATTGCTAAGTGTAGATTGCTTTTTCAAGGAACTGTATTAAAGAGGTAGGGAGCTAAGTTTGCTTTGGTTTGGGGCTGAAGGAAATATTTTTTACTGAGGAAAATTGTCCTGGGGAAATGTTCCATAAGGCATAGCAATAGTCCTTTGAAAATAGTTGCTTTTCTGTCATAATAAAGACAACACAGAGAAACAAAAAGAGAGGAGCTGTCAGAACTGGAAAAGCCCAGCTTGCTCGTACCCATTCATGACAGGAACGCTGGTGTATCTCATTGTGGGTACTGAATTTTTGAAATTCTCGTTACTGCTGCCAAAACACACAACATTAAAAGATAAGGAAGTTTATTATGCTTAGCACAACCTACCTCTTTAAAAATCTTTATAATGTCCATAGAAAATACCAAATACTAATCATAAGTTTAAAAGTTTCTTATGAAGACTCTAGTAGCCTGCCAGGGACCCAAATTATTTTTCTTAAGCTGAATTGATCATGTTCAAAGAGGAAAACCGTATATAGAAGCTATCTTTCCATCCCATTCCTCTCCCTAATGCCAGCCTTTGAGGTGAACTGGGTTTTGCATTATGTTATAATGCTGTCACATACTGGTATATATTTCTTCCTCAACTCTTAAATGATAGTAAGTCCAAGACTGGTGCATGTAAAGATGTAGTTAGATTTGAGGCTTGATTTTTTTAGTTTAGGTACCCTTTCCATAGAGGTTATTTAGCATTAACAGGATTTAGTCATCCAAATGAAAATTAATTTAGCTCTGTAAAGGGTGTTTTCTCTCTAGGTCATTTTCTTCCCTCATATTTCCCAAAATATTGGTTCTCAGCCTGTCAACTGAGATTCTTGGAATTTGCCTCTGATTTGGGGAAATGGTTAAGCAAATGTGTAGCTGCTTAATGCAGGATATTTAAATAGTGGGTTTCATTGATTGTTAGTCTGATTTGAATATATCTTCATTTGTAGCTGATTCTGCAAACCTGATCACTGTGTGCATCAATCATTATTTTCACCCTGTTCTTCTTACTATTATTAATATTACCACTTTATGAAACAGTTGAATCCTGTGCTTCAGCTTTTAAACAATGAATAGAATGTTATTTTTCTTCAATCAGATGTTATAGTCTCTCTTGCATATATAAAATGTTAATGTGGACTTGCAGATTTTACAAGTAGATTTTCCTTTTAAATGCCTTATTTAGTGCTATATCAAAAATGATTTTTCTCAGGTTAAAGGGGCAATATTTTACAAGATTACTGAAGATAAGATCAGCTATTCAGAAGAATGTATTAGCTGTTAAAAGCTATGAATTCATTACCAAAAGAAGATAGGTGAAATCTCTTCTGTTTCTTTACATTTTAAAGTATAGATAATATATAAATTTTGTATAGTTACTTGAAGGGGAATCCCATCTCAAACTCTAGTATAGTTTGTGATGATCTCTGCAAATTAAATGGAATCCCATATAATTACTATGGAAGTCAACTCATTCATGGAAACTTCTCCCTAGAAGATCTTAGAATATGCATGCCTGAGTTCTTACTGCCATATATATGTAAATAGCATGCAGATATTGACAAACAGTGATTAATAAAGAGGCCAAAGGAAATCAAAGGGTGCTCAAGAAATCTCAGAGAGAAAAATGGTTTCCCCAAATTCCAGTAGAATCATGTAGACATGATGTAGAATTATGGGGACAACTAGGTCTCCAGATTCCCATTCTAGAATTCTTAATACCTCATGTAACTTCAGACTTCCTGTGTTCTAGAAGAGTTTTTTGGAGCCATCTTTTTAGGGTCTATTTTTCTGTTTTCTGAGAGTATTGAGAAATTTTAAAAATCCTACTTGTAGCAAGGAAATTTGTATCAGAATTAATTTCTGAAAAATACTTGGTTGTGTTCTGTGGGTGTGAGGTCTGGCCAGTGACCTCTGATCAGACAGTAAGGAAGATAGTGTGGTAGTGTTTATTCCTAGAGAAAAAACGTAAGCAGTTTTTTTGAGGGCCACAGGATGGGATGTTTAGGAGTGATGTTTTATATGTATTTGTATATGTGTGTATACATACACACACACACACACACACACACACACACACACACACACACACACACACACACACGACTGTACACTTCTGTGATTTTTGTAGAGAAGTTCTCATTAATAATAATATGAAGGGTTCCATAGTTAACCTTTCATACCTGAACTTGTTAAATGACACTAGGCGTTCTGGAAGGAAAACCTGCTCCTAAGTCTTGCTTTCTCTTTGCAACAGTTGGGAAGGTAGAAGAAGAGAATCAATACAGAATCCAAAAACTTGATCTCTGGCTCCCACCCTTAAATAATGTTAGTTGTGCAAGATAGCTTGTCACACCTGGGCTCTGCTACCACTGGCTTTCTCTTTTCCTGTCTTTTGGTTCTTCTTGGGGCAGTGTGTTTTATTTTCTGTCGTCAAAGGGAAATTGAAACTCTAGGAGAGGGGAAAGAATAAATACATTTAGATGTCTTCTTCACCTAGGTTGCAAAAACAATATCTTGGTTTAAGAAAATGTGATGGCAGGATTCTAGAGAAATGACTTCAGGAGATGTTTCTGTGTTCAGAGTTGGCAGGGAGGGGTTGGGGGAGGGGAATTCAGAGCAGGCCTAAAGCAGCATTGGTGTTTGTTGCACCTATTTCATTCTATTTTCCTTTTTTTTTCTTTTGCCCGTAAGCACAGCAGAATCGTATTAGTTAACTATTCTAGAGTCAGGTCACTTTCTACGTAGGACTTAGGAACATCAATAGACAGTGCATGATAAAAACAGTGGAATTGTATAGCATTGTTTTCTTATTATCCTAGAACTTGATTAATTTCTCTTGAACTTGAAAGATACTTGGAAGATTCTTGAAAGGTTCTCTGTTTCTACTTCCACTTACTGCTTATACTCAGTGAGTTTCTAGGCCTGGGAGTTGATCAGATTGAATCTTTTAGATCTTTGTGTGGTCGTGACATGGAAAATGATTTTGTGTATTGTCTTGTATTTGTAGAACTCTATGGCTTTGACGTGCTCATAGATTCTACTCTGAAGCCATGGTTGTTGGAAGTGAATCTCTCTCCTTCTTTGGCCTGGTAAGTCAGTTCCATCTACTAGAAAAGGACAAACCTTCAAGAAATATTTAAAACACTTTTTTTGGAGTCATTTCTCTTGGTACTAGACGATTATTTTTTTTCCTAGTTATTAGAGATAACCAGACTTTCTTAAATTAGTTGGTTTATGGCACAATATCAAAGTTTATGTGGGAATCATGGATCTTTGTCTTCCTAGTCAATTTACAATTAACATGATTCCTGCTTATTAGGCTTCTAAGGGATGATTCTTACATTCATTTTTATCCCTGGATTTTTTTTAATAGTAGGTGTTCTGTTAAGGCTAAGGAAATATGTAAGGTATTATATTTCGTTCATTACCAAAAGTTTTATGGGTTCAAATCCACATACACTATAAAGATATAAAGCTGGGGCCGGGCGCGGTGGCTCAAGCCTGTAATCCCAGCACTTTGGGAGGCCGAGGCGGGTGGATCACAAGGTCAAGAGATCGAGACCATCCTGGTCAACATGGTGAAACCCCGTCTCTACTAAAAATACAAAAAATTAGCTGGGCATGGTGGCGCGTGCCTGTAATCCCAGCTACTCAGGAGGCTGAGGCAGGAGATTGCCTGAACCCAGGAGGCGGAGGTTGCGGTGAGCCGAGATCGCGCCATTGCACTCCAGCCTGGGTAACATGAGTGAAACTCCATCTCAAAAAAAAAAAAGATATAAAGCTGGATCTAGGGCCATGTAGATAATATGTGGTGCTTTTACCCTGTCCGATGTTTAAAGTCATCCAAGTTTAAAGTCAAAAACTTCAAACAACTTAAAATTTTTATTAACTAACCTATTGTTTAGAAGAAGAAAAGAAACATATTTTTTAATACCAGAGAAGATTATTATTATATTTGGAGCTACAGCCAGAATTTCTGTTCACTGTATACTTCTCTAAACAGAGAGCTCCAGAGGTTTATGCCAGAGACCACCCAGCTGCTGAGTTTTTAAGGATGAGAGATACTGGCAAAATGCCAAGTAATCAAATAAAGACAGATTGACTGCTTTTGGAGTGGGAGTTTGGCTTAACCTCCGTAGTAAGGTGTAGAGCTAGATATTACAGATGCTTCAGGTGTTACGCAACTTTCGTCAAGTCAGCCTTTCGCAGATTGCACAGTAAAGTGTATTATACTATACTTCAGAAGTTAGAAATCCCCAGAATGAGGCACTGAGTATAGCAGGCAGAGCCGTTTGGTTCATGGAGGAACACCTCAACGCTGAAGCCAGTGTGGCAGTCACTGCCACAGGGAGGCTTCTTGCTTTTGGTCCATCTTGCTTTTGTTTTCATGTGGGTTTCTGCTGTATCATTTGGTGAGATTTTGGTATGACTTGTTTTTTTTTTTTTTTTTTTTTTTTTTTGCCCTATTTGCAAGCCTGCAAGCCTAAGAAGGTTGTTTTAGAGCAGAAAATAAAGACTTAAAAAAGTACAAAGTTGCTTCTCTTGCCTGTGAATGTGACTTGACTGTTACAGCAGTGAAAAGTAATTTGAACGGTGGGCACACTCATAAAAGAGCGTACTGAAAGTCTGAACCTCTAAAATCCACAGTTTTAATGAAGCAGTATTCTTGACTTCTGCAAAATTTGAATTGCACAAGGCCTTCTGGTATAAAAAAAATTGCATGTTAGAGAATCAATGCGTGGTGCTGGGTTTGCATTACAGAGGACAAACTGAACACCAGGATTTCATTTCTCATATTTGTGCACAGATTCCCCACCCCATGGATTTTATGGGCTTTATGTGTTGCTCTTCATTGACATTTGGAAACTTTGCCATATTGGGGCCCATTAGAGGGTGGCTATCCTTTTAACCTACACACTTATCAATTGCTCTTTTCTTTCTTTGTTTCTGTTAGTGATGCACCTCTGGACCTAAAGATTAAAGCCAGTATGATTTCAGATATGTTCACTGTTGTAGGTGAGTAGTAGTGTTTTCTGAACTGGACTGATATAAAAATTAACCGGAGTGTCCATTTTGTCAGACTCCATAGATTTTGCCAACTGGCAGTTCCTAAACCATGCTGAATGTTTTGTACTAAAAAAATTATATTTTCAGGGAAATGTTTATATGTTTCTACTCCCCTTGGCTCCATCCTGTCCTGAGGCTGAACCGCAACTAAGGCTGAGACCTGGGGCACAGGAATTATGAGCTGAGAAAGAGAATTAGCAAAGATCTGGAGAAAGTGTATTTTATCTCCAAGCTGGGAAATTAAAACCCACTGAAGAAGCCTCCTTACAAAGGAGACTGGCTATATTTCTGCTAGACAGTCTCTACTGGTCTCAATGTGATCCCTTCTGTAGTAGTTATAACCAAAGCAGCCCAAAGAAGAAATCCCATTTTGAGTAGATAAGCCAAAACTTTGAAATGGAGATGAGCAGTCAGGTGGGTATTTTGTGGGTTTGTTGTTTTTTTAAGAACTATAAAAAGACTTAATAAAATATATTTGAGATGAACTAGTACCTGATGTACCAGCAAATGCTGTAAAACTTAGCTACTCTATTCTCTTTGGATGGGAACCTGCTTCTTTTTAGGAAGTAAGTGAAATTAGCCGAAGTCCAATTTTCAAAGCCGTAGATAATCTACAAAGCCCATTTTGAAAGTTGCCAATAGACCACCTTCTGCATTTCCAGCAGCAGATCATGTAACAGGACAAGACTGTTAACTTGCTTTTGGATTTTCCCTGTAAAAATAACTTTATTTTCCAGTCATCATCCAGGTAGCCACTTTAAAGTAACTTGTTTTTATTAACAACCATGTGTTTTAAAGTGGTGATTTACGGTTGTTTTTAGGTTCATCAAAAATCTACATCTCTTTCTCACTCAGAATCACATTTCAGCTACCTAACCAGCAAGGTTAATTTATCTGCATATTTCCCCTTTCTTGTTCTCTCTAATTATGGTGGTTCGGAGTTCAATCAGAGTATGTGTATGCGAGAGTTGTGCATTACCTTCCTGAGGTTAGATCTCTGTAATATTTATGACAGTGAAACTGAGTCTGTATATCTAAAGAAAAGGTGTAGTGAGACCTGCTAATTTCTTAGAAAATGGCAGGTTTTAATATTGCCCATTCCCCATTCAGGATTTGTGTGCCAAGATCCTGCCCAGCGAGCATCAGCCCGGCCAATTTATCCCACCTTTGAGTCTTCCCGGCGAAACCCTTTCCAGAAACCTCAGGTAAGCAAATTCCACAGCAGGGAGCCTGAAGGCAGCTTACTGGGAAGTGGCGGCTGATATAACTGAGGGAGCTGAAGTACTGTGGATGAGGTCACTTAGAGCAGGAGAATTTGGGGATCACTTTAGATAGGAGGCAGTTATATTCAGCTGTGGCTAACAGCTTGTGCTTTAAATGTTTTCCGACAAACTTACTCCCTGTTTTTTGTTTTGTCTTTTATCTTGGCTTCTTTTTTTCATTATCTTCCTTCTCTCTGTTTTTAAAAATCACCTTTTTCCACCTCAGATTGATGTGCTCAGAAACAAAGCACAGAGAAGCCTACTAATTCTTAGTCATCACTGTGTTCTTTCCGGTCTTCAGACTAGCTTTGTAAAGAAGATGCTTTCTTGAAATAGTATCTTCTCTACAAGTAATTCTCTTCGGACCCTCCATGATCATGAGTTATTGATTGAGGCTAAATGAGGTAAAAGCCCAAAGAAACTTATACATGTCTAAAATATCATTTGATCAAGCACTGCTTCAGTTTTTGTGTACTCTGCATTTTTGTTCCAGTTAAACCAATCAGCTAATCCTTCTATTTACTCATTCCATCATCTTGTCAGTCCCTGCCTATTTTGACTCTGCTAATTTTCCACTTTTGTTTCTTGGCCTTTAACATTTCTTCCTATTTTAAAAAACCCACCTTGCTCTTCTCTTCCCATCTGGTTTGATTACTTTGCCTGCTCAGACATTTTGGAAGTCTTTTCTTATTAAATTCATCATGACCTTTACTTTTCATTTTAATATTATTCACTTGTTCTATATTACATTGTTTTGCATTTGTTGATTTGTTGCTTTTAAATTGTCCTGTACGCCTCTGCCAGATTGTAGGCTTTTTGAAGGCATCAGCAGCTTTTTCTTCCTGCTCCCCATCTTCTCTTTCCTTTTCTTCTCTCTTTTTATCCCTGCCCCAACTACACTTTAACCCTCTACTCCCCCCTTTTTTCCTCCCTTCTTCTACTCCCATTCCTCCTCTTGTTCCTTTTGCTTGCTGGTCTCATTTGCAGCAGTGCTATTTTCTGTTTGCCAAACTCATATACTATTATTTATTCAGATAATTTTTTATTAGAACAGGGCTTTCAAACTCAAATGCCTAGAGGGCCTTCAGGCAGGTAATATAAATGAGTAAATAGAGGCAGGTATAATACAGCTAAGAGTGATATGACTGAGGTAAACTAGAGAGTGCATACCTCATCTGAAAGGGGTGGCTGTTTTACTAATGTGCTCCAGCCAATTACTGTCATGCTTAAGTGTGGGCCAGGTGTTACGCGATCTTCCTATTGTCAAGAGAAATCAGAAATCTTACTTTAAATATTGGCACCTAGTTCATTAGAAACAATACTTTGCAGGCCAAGCATAATATGTCTCTGAGCTGGATTCAGTCTTTGCCTATCTGTGACCCCATGCTGTAGAATTACTCTCTAATTAGTGTTGGGATGTGGAACAGGGTGTACTGTATTTTAAGGGCTATTATCTTGGATTAGATATAAAATCAGTTACCAGGGTTATACTTGATCAGTGCAGTATCACAGATCAAAGGGTTTTCTTTAATTTTTAATAAGAAAAAGTAGAGGATTAACCTAGGTGTACTAGGAAAACTTAATTTAGACAATCACATTCCTTTGCAAATTGTTTCCTGCAGTATCTGTGGCAAGAACCACAGGATTATGTATAAAGGAGCATGAACGTTTCTGTGCAGCTTTAACACAGTTTCTGCCAAGTTTCACTTCTAGAGGTAGCTGTATTGCCAACCTTGGATGAATGGATCCCTTTTCTTAGGTTGCCTGTTAGCTTTTTTGGCAACTCTTTGCAAACTCTAGAAAGTCTATTCAATGCTTGTTTTGCCAACTGGTAGGTAATGGCATGATTTCATCCATATGCAGCCTACAGGACACTTATATAAAGGCTAAAGGAACTTTAGATTTGTTATGTGTAGTGTGTGAAACCAGTTTGTCAGGTGGACTAGTTGACTTCAGGGTCTTCATTATCTGGCAGTAAAATTGTGCCCTCGGCAGTGAGAAGTTGAAGCTGGAATATGTATGGCATAGGAGAAAGCAGTATAATGAAAGATTATAAATGTTCTAACATTCCAACTACCAAGTGTAGGACTCTTGCTTTGGTTTCTGCTTGGAGATTATTTTTCCTCTTTTATATCATAGATCTAGGAGATGGAAAATGTAGGCATGTTAGGAGAAGATAAGGCTTTATTCCATTTTTCTGTCTTTTATAGCGTCCAGTATCTGCACAGTTACAGTCATCAAAGGCCAAGCAGGTAAGTTCTAGATCTTTTGGAGACTTCATTCAAATTTTATTTTCATTCTCCAAATGGAAAGTTTTTTAGCTTTAGTTTTTCATGGTACATACTTTATGTACCTGTTTTTTGTTTGTTTGTTTGTTTGTACAGTTTAATAACATAAATGAAAATAAATGCATAGAAGTCTTTTTGGTTATAGAATATAAGAGTAGAGGATGCAGGAACTTAGGGATCCTCTTTTCCTGATAGTGATTATACTGCGATGGAGGCAGTTGAATTTAAACAATGAACAGGGGCTTACTGGCATATCTGTCTCTTTGACCAGAATATTCCAGGAAGGAAATTTTGTAGTTCACAAATGAACTTCATTTTTTTTCCCAGACATCTTACGAAACATACTGTTGCCTATAGCTTAATACTGGAAATGTTTACACATTGGGTGTTGGGCTGTAGAGTTTCTTAATAGGTGACATTTCAAATATGTAGTGATTTGCAGTTTACACATCTTAGAAGCTTTGCCATAATAGTGTCCCAGATGCTACCTTTGAAATGCAAACATCTTTCTTTCTGAAGATTCTGAATGATCAACATTTGCTTTCTTACTGTTTCTGTTAGCAGTATTTGAGATTAACCATCGCTTTCTTCTGCACAGATTTAAAAAATTCTTTTTGAAGTAATAGGCCAGCAGTGGGAGTCCTATGCCTGCTATTTGATGCTTTGGTATGAGGGTTATAGATACCCTCATATATAAACGTGTCACTGCAACTATTTTTTAGCAAAAAGCTCCAGTGTATTTATTTTGGCATTTGCACTCTCTGATGCAATTTCTGGTAAGCTTGAATGCTTGACTTGTAACTTTCTTAGCTACTATTTCTGATAAAGTGATTTATATGGTTTATGTGAAAGCAAGAAATAAAAAATAACTTACTGGATGCCTTGTCTAATATTTAGTAACTGATTAATGTGATTCTGTAGTATGAATTTTGGTACTTAGTTGGTAGAATTTGAAACTCTATAATATGTAGTGTTTTATATTTAGTAAATACCTAAGTATGCTAGCTGCTACCCGTGGCAAAAAACAAAACAAAACAAAACAAAATAAGGCTGTTGACTTCAAAGAGCTTATATTCTAAATATCCCTGGAACTAATCTACTGATAGGAGTACGTTAAGAAATGAGTACTCTTTTATAGCCTTTGGCGTTTGACTCTAAAGAAGTGTCTTTGAAATGTAATTCTATTTTATTTTTATTTATTTATTTGAGACAGGGTGTCACTTCGTCACCCAGACTGGAGTGCAGTGGCACGATCACAGCTCACTACAGCCTGGACTTCCTGGGCTCAGGTGGTCCTCCCACCTCAGCCTCCTAAGTGGCTGGGACTACACGTGCACACCACTACGCCTGGCTAATTTTTTGTGTTTTTGGTAGAGATGAGGGTTTTGCCTTGTTACCCGGGCTGATCTGGAACCTCTGAGCTCAAGCCATTTGCCCACCTTGGCCTTCCCAAAGTGCTGGGATTGCAGGCATGAGCTACCATGCCCGGCCTTTGATATGTAATTCTAATCTTAATTTCTCGTTATCAGTTTAATTCCATTACATCTAGTTGCATTGCTTGGATTACCATGGGTTATAATAGCTTTGTTGGAGAGCAAGACCTCTCTTTAGTAGTAATGTATTTGAATGTGACATAAAGGCTTTCTGACTTTATTCAGCCAGCTTTATACGTGTTGAATTCTTGGACTCTTACTGTTCTTTGCAGTGTTCTATTTTGTCATTGTCTTTCTGTTAACGAAGCACTCTTAACTTCACAGTATTTTCATTGGAGCCAAGTTAAAAAAAAAAATTCTCTGTTCTGACCAGTAAGATTGTGCCAAGCTTTCTTTTTCTGTTGCTGTCAGATTGTGAATTCTTTAGTTCTTTGTCCTTTGTCTGCCTTTTCCTTTTTAATCCATTTTCTCTATCTATGTTTCTCCCTTCTCTTTAATGTCTATGGTTCAGATTTTCCACTCACCAGAAATTGTATTGCATGGTATTCTGGAAAAAACATGTACCTTTTCAGTCGGATAGACCTGAATTCAAATTTGAGCTCTTCTAATAACTAGTAATTAGATATTTGGGCAAGTTCTCTTACCTTTCTGAGGCTCAATTCCATATCTGTCAAATGGGGACAATAATTCATACATAGAGTTATGGTGAGAAAGAAATGATATAGATAAAATATTCAGGATAAATGCGGGACATGTAGTTTATACTAAGAAGATTTACTCCCCTTCACACTTTTGCATCTTGATTTTCCCATTGTGAAGATCTCGTTACTTTGATGTTCACCTATTTGTAGCCATGTTTTTCACATTTGCTATCATCCAAAAATGCTGTTTTGTTTATTTTTCCTTCCAGACATTAATGAAAATTTTAAACAGAGCTTAGTTAACACCCATTTTAGAAATCCCTTCCTAACTTGATTCATTGCTGTTTACTTTATCTTACAGTTACACTGTTTTTAGTTTTTGTTGATGTGTTATATTCTGGCAGTAACCCTTGATATATAATTTAGAATAAAAATGTTATAAAATTTTCTCAAATGCTTCTCTAAAATCCAAAGACATTAAATATATTGCTATAGCTCCCCTTTTAAAGCTCTTGTCCTAAAAATCAAACTTTTAAAGCATGCTTTAAAATAAATACTGTAAAGCATTCTTCGTACTATTCTTTATGAGCCCCCATCCTCTAAATTATTAGGGATTTTTTCCTTTTAATATTTGTTTCATTATTTTACTAGGGATTCAAGTTAGATTTACCAGGCATTAACCACCAGGAGCATACTTCTTACATTTTTGAAGATTAGTACCTCATTTGGTGTTTTTCTAATCTGGTACTTCCTCAGTTCTTCATGATTTTTCAGATGTAATTTTAAGTGGTTTGGTAAGTTTTGTTTGTTTGTTTTTAAGGCCATTTTCCTTAATAACAAAATGCTTGTCTCTCAGACCTGCTGGCTTACATTTATTCCAAATTTCTAGGTGTTACATAATTCTTTTTATTTTATTTTACTTTATTTTCTACTGTTACATAAGCCTACTTATTCCCCGCCCAATTTCACAGTATACACTGATTATGATTATGTTTAAATGTTCTCTTAGAAGCCTTTTTTTTGGTCTATTTCCACTCAGATTTATTGATAATGTGGTCTTGTCCATTTATTTTCTTTCATTCGATAGCATTAATTCATTTTGCCTTTAAACTTGATTTTACCTTTGGTTTTTTAGATGGTAAAATGTATCACATATAAATTGAGCTATTTCTAGTTCCTTTGCTTTTAATGAAGAATTCCAAAATTCGTAAAACTGCATTGAGAAATTTTTATTCTTTGCATGTGTTCTCTGTCAAACAAATTTTATTTTTGCCCCTCAATTATGATATATTTTTAGGATATCTTGCCATTTTTCTCCATTCTACATTTTGTCAAGTTCTTCTCATCACTGGTACTTGCCAGCTTTTTTTAGGCTGAGAATCAGTTTCTGATTCAGCATCTGTGTCTTACTTCTTTGTCTGAGTGAAGACTGGTGGTTCCTTGTCTCAATAATTTCACATTCTCAGTCAGTTGTTCCTTAGCAATGATGGTTAGATATGTAAGGTTTCTTCTTTGGGTAGATTTCTGAATCATAAGTTGTACTATTGATAAATTTATCTTTGGTGCATGTTGCATGGCAGAATTCTTAACCTGACAGTTATTTGACAGTTTAAAATTTATCTGAGGACTGGATATTTAAATCATGTATCTTTTAACCAGAGGCAGTGGTTCTCCTCTCTAAGTTCAGAGGAGCCTTATTTCCTAAGTGCATTCAGTCAACCCATGGGAGTATGTGGATTTATTATATCTGCTATCCAGAGGATGTAGCTGTTGTGCCCAAAGGCAAAGCTGCAGAATGACTTGCATTTGGACTGTTTTGCCTTTGTTTGTAATACTCTCGATGGCCTTTCAAATCATTCTGATTCCTTTTTTTACCTTTGTTTTTAATCTCCAAGAGTGTCTCCTCGACACTCATAAGCATTTCTTTTCTTTTTTCTGTCCATCTTATCCTTTCTTCTTCCCTTCTCTCTTTCTCTGCCTTTTCTTTCACCTGTGACTATAATTCAGGTCACATGTATTCCTTTCTCAAAGCTCTCAAATACCCAACCTAGAAGCACAGACCTGAATTTCTACATGCCTCTACCCGACCCCAAACAGTTCACACATATGTACACAGTAGCTAGACCTGGAATTGTAGGCTTAACAACGGAGTGGTTGTGACTGTGTATGGGAGACAACTCTTTGAAAGTGATTGGCAGAGAAGTTTAAGAGTTTGGGGTGCTAATTCATTGGTTACAGGAACCACATGAGGTTAGTAGGAGAAGGTTACAACATCATTATCTCAATTTCTAGAAGCCAGGAATATTAAAAATTATTTTAAAAAGCACCCAAGAATTGGGGGTTTCTCATTAGATGTTGTTCAATAGTGATTTGACCCTTGTTCTTTTAAATACACCCATGCATTCCTTAAATCTGTTTAATAGTTAATAACTTTTTCTTTAAATACTTTTAGTTAATGTAGCTTTTAGCTTATCAACCTTCGAAGTAACATTCTTTCTGTTCTTAAAAGCTTGATAAAAATGCTTATTTTTATTATTTAAATGAATGCTTATTGCTTACTATCTCTTTATGTAATTTGAGATAGTATCATGCAAGAAAGCTACTTAACTTAGGGGACAAACTGCCAGTGGCTTTACTGTTTTATTTTTGAGATGGAGTTTTGCTCTCGTTGCCCAGGCTGGAGTACAACGGTGCAATCTAGGCTCACTGCAACGTCCACCTCCAGTGTTCAAGCAATTCTCTTGTCTCAGCCTCTGAGTAGCTGAGATCACAGGCATGTGCCACCATGCCCAGATAATTTTGTATTTTGAGTAGAGAAGGGGTTTCACCATGTTGGTCAGGATGATCTCTATCTCCTGACCTTAGGTGATCTGCCTGTCTTGGCCTCCTAAAGTGCTGAGATTGCAAGTGTGAGCCACTGTGCCCGGCTTTGCCAGTGGCTTTATGATCAGAAACATGCTATCATGGGTGAACTAGATAAGTATTTTTTGGCAAACAGTAAGTAGTGTGTGATCACGAGAAAAGCCCTCAAACGATCCATTTAATATTTTTGGCTTTTCCAAATTATACATTAAATAAGTGTTCACACTTTTTAAAGATTTTAAAACAATGGTTACATTATTCATACAAATAATATATAAACCTGTAAACCCTCTCATTTTAACATCTACTGTTTAATGTATTCCCAGAGATTGAGGAAGTAAAACTATTTCCCAAAATCCTTCTGCAGAGTTCAATTCTAACCATGATTGGTGTCAGCACTTCCACGTATTTATTTGTTTAACAAATACTTCTTGATTTACTTCATGCCAAGTATAATGTATTGTTCTGGATGTTGAAGACACCACAGTAAAAGCTCCTGCACTTCACATGTTGCTTACATCTGTTGATTGCATGGTTTTTCTTGATATAGGTATCCGTCATGGAGTTTCCTATCAGAAAATATAGCTTTTATAACTCCCATACTAGCTTTGAAGATTGGTTAGTTGGTCACTGTTGTATCCAAAGATAAAACCATTCATGGTTGGCTATTTGTGTACATGAGTATATTAGTCTGTTCAGGCTGCCATAACAAAATGCCATAGCCTGGGTGGCTTAAACAACAGAAATTTATTTCTCACAGTCTGAAGGCTGAGAAGTCCAAGATCAAGGTGCTGGCAAGGTAGGTTTCATTCTAAAGCTTTTTAAAATTGGCTTATAGGTTTCCATTTTGTTGTATGCTCACATAGCCTCTTCTTTGTGCACACACTGGCTGGGGCTGGGGAAGAGAGAGGGAGATCAAATTCTCTGGCATCTCGTCTTATAAGGACGCTAATCCCATTACACCAGGGCCCTACTCTCATGACTTCTAACTTTAATTACCTTCCTAAAGCTCCATCTCCAAATGCTATCATATTGGAGATTAGGACTTTAACATGAGAAATTCTGAGAGACACAAACATTCATTCCATAACAACAGATATTGCTAAAAAGGCCAAAAGTTAGTTACCAAAATGCCTTTGAATAGATATTCTACAAATAGAGAAAGACAAATAATATCTCCTGACAGTGGGGCTGCTGCTCTCTGATTGAAATTACTTCTAAGAATTAAGAGGACAGTTTGCACCCATAGTGGGTGAATTCTTTCTTACTCTTTCTACTTGGCAGATTTGTCTTATTTTTGTCTGTCACTTCATTAGTTTTAGTAGTAATATATTATCATGCTTTTATACGGACTTCCTTTTTTACCTTTCTGTTTCTCCACTCACATAAAATCAAAATTCACTTGAAACTTGTGTTTTCCGATGATTTCCCTGATTATCATGTAGAAGCTGATTACATAGCCAAGCACCTCTTCTGGGATCAGTGGTGAACGGGGGCCCTTTGGCAGCCTTGTTGGAGTACCCCAGGTAGTCACTCGTGTTTCAGGCCTCTTGAAGTTCAACCACCGCAGTGATAACCTTTGGCCACGCTCTTTTCTGTGTCAGTGATGACTCTCATCTCAGTATTTCCCACTCAAATGGTAAAACATCTCACAACCCAACTTTTTCATTTGTGATGTTAATAGATTGTTCCTCGTTTTTGTGCCTTATGTCTCAATTCTTAATTCTTCATCTCCTGTGCTGAAAATAATATACACTGAAATAAATACACATTTACTTTTCTGTTGAAGGCATTTTCAGATTTTTCCATATCCTTGAAATATTAGATGTGCTCTAAAACCAAGGTTTGGATTAAATACTAGCTTAGAAAGTCACGTGGACCTCATTTTTTCTTCTCTTTTCTTTCTCAACCCATAGTGTTTTTTTTTTACTATTCTGTTTTCTCCTCTTGCCTTTGAGTTTATTAGCTTTCTCCTGTTTTCCAGGGTTTCAGGCTAAGATAATTACAGAAAGTAATTAATGAATTTGAGCTTATATATCTTAGGAAAGATGATGTTAAGTGAATGAACAGAGGGAAATGAGGAATAATGAAAAAAATTAAAATTTTTTTTTTTACTATTTTTATTTTCTTCTTTTTAGCGTTCCCGTCCACTTTCAGCCAGTGATGCAGAAATGAAAAACCTCGTGGGCTCAGCCCGGGAGAAAGGGCCAGGGAAGTTGGGTGGTTCTGTGCTTGGTCTGTCAATGGAGGAGGTAAAGATAAATTCATTTTAGGCTTTTGTGGGTTAAAACAGGGTTTAGCAAAAATTATGGAGTGATTCATAATATTTATGACAAACTCGTGTCTTACATTGAAAAGAGAAAGATTCAAGGTGGGAGAAGTGTTTTCTCAGGGAAGAACATTTTAAATGGAATTAATTTCTCCTTTCATGCTGCTTTCATATTCTTGGGTCCTAACTATCTTCCTTTGTCCGATAGCCACATGGATTCCAGTTTTCAAAATAGGTACTCATTTTATCTTATTTTTCATCTAGATCAAAGTTTTACGGAGAGTGAAGGAGGAAAATGACCGGAGAGGTGGATTTATTCGCATATTTCCTACATCTGAGACATGGGAAATATATGGGTGAGGTGACTACCTTTTTTTTTTTTTAATCTTTACCTCAGGTCCATAGAATTAGATTAATTGTGATTCACTGTTGTCATTGCTCCCTACAAAGCTGCCTTTCTTATTCTGGTTTGTTTACTTGTAACATGACAAATATTACCCAACCCAAGAACTAGATTATTGACAGTAATTCAATATAACTGTGTATTATTTCCTCCCTTTTAATCCCCTACTCCCTCCTAACTAGCTTCCTAACCCAGGGTTAGACACGTTCCTAAACTTTGTGTTTATCATTACCTTGATTTGAAAAAAAAAATATTTTATCTGTATGTGTGTCTAAGCAATATATTGTTTTATTGAGATCTAGTTTACGTGCAGTAAAGTGCATCTATTTTAAGTGTACAGTTTGAAGATGATTTTGGCAACGGTCGGCACCAGTTTAGACACTGCTACCACCTCAATCGAGATATAAAATATTTCTATCACCTTCATAGCCCAGTTTATTCCCTTTTTTATTCAATCCTCCACATGACCCTGGGCTTCAGATATCATGATCTGCCTTCTATCATTACAGTTTTTCTACAATTCCACATAAATGGAATCATACAGTATGTACTTTTTTGTATCTGGACTCTTTTGTTCAGCCTAGGGTTTTTAATATTTGTGTGTGTTGGTTTATGAAGAATAGTTCATGCCTCATTATTATGCACTATTTCATTGTTTGAATATACCAGAATTTGTTGAATATACCAGAATATACCACTCAAATCTATTGTAGAACATTTGGGTTGTGTCCAGTTTTGGGCTCTTTTGAAGAAAGCCACTATGACCATTCGTGTACAATTTCCAGCACCTTTAAAATGTCTTTTCGTCGTTTTTAGGCTTGCATTTTTCTGATGAGAATCATACAGCAGTTATATTTCTTCTTCTATGCATAATGGCTTTTTTTCTCATCCTGCTTTTAGAATTATCTCTTTACAACTGATTTCCTTTTTTTTTTTTTTTCCTGGAGATAGGGATCTCACTTTGTTGCCCAGACTGGAGTGCAGTGGCATAATCTTGGCTCACTGTTACCTTGGCTTCCTGGGCTCAACCTCAGGCAGTCCTCCTCCCTCAGCCTGCCTGGTAGCTGGGACTACAGGTGCATGCCAACACGGGTGACTAATTTTTGTAGAGTTAGAGGTCTCCGCAAGTTGCCCAAGCTGGTCCTGAACTCCCAGGCTCAAGTGATCTGTCTGCCTCAGCCTCCTAAAGTGCTAAGATTATAGATGTGAGACACTGTGCCTAGCCACAACTGATTTTCAACAGTTTGATTATGATGTGCCTTGGTGTCATTTTGTTCATGTTTCTTCTGCTTGAGATTCATTGAGCTTCATCTATGGGCTTATAGTTTTTATCAAATTTGGAAAACTTTTGGCCTTTATTTCTTCAAATATATTTTTTTCCATTTCTGTCTTTTTTTGGGACTGTGGTTACTTAGTTTATATTTTACCTCAAATCTGGCTGTGCTCATATTTTTTCAGACTTTTTTTTCTCTCTTAATTTGGGATGTTTTTCCATTTCTCTGTGTCTCTAAGGTCATTCATCATTTTGTCTCCAGTACCTAATCCTCTGCTAATTCTACCCAGTGAAATTTTCATTTCAGATATTTTATTTTTATTTATTTATTTTTGAGATGAAGTCTTACTCTGTTGCCCAGGCTGGAGTGCAGTGAGGTGATTTCAGCTCACTGCAACCTCTGCCTCCCAGGTTCAGGTGATTCTCCTGTCTCAGCCTCATGAGTAGCTGGGATTACAGGTGCACACCACCATGCCCGGCTAATTTTTGTATTTTTAGTATAGATGGGGTTTCACCATGTTGATCAGGCTGGTCTTGAACTACTGATCTCATGATTGCCCACCTCAGCCTCCCAAAGTGCTGGGATTATAGGCATGAGCCACTGCGCCTGGCCTCAGATAATTTTTTTTCATCACTTTTTGTGTCTTCTTATTCTCTTTTTCATTATGTTCATGGTTTCCTTTACATTTTTGTTTATATGTTATGATATTTATAATAACTGTTTTAAAATATCTTATTCTGTTATCTGTCATTTTGGATTCTATTTCTATTGACTGGTTTTTCTCATGTTTATAGGTCACATTTTTGTTTCTTCACATTTACAGTAATTTCTTTAATTGAATTTTGGACATTGCAAATGTTATATTGTTGAGTGTTAGGATTTTATCGCCTTCTTTAAACCCTTTTGAATTTTTTTTTCTTTTGGTCAGGCACTTCAGTAATTTGTAGATCACCTTATCTTTTTCAGGCTTATTTTTAAGCATTGTTATGGTTCGTTTAGAGTAGCTTTTTGTCTAGATCCAGGTGAGCTCCTCCACTAAAGACTCTTTTGGGGTGTCTGTTAAATTACATCCATATTCAGTGAGATTTTTCCGTTCTGACTGGCAGGCACTCAATTTGCAACCTTATGTGAACTCTGGGAATTATTCACCTTGCACTTTACCTTCTCCTTAATTTGTTCTTTATCCTGATAACTTGCACTTTGCTTAGCCTTGTGGACTTTCGCCCTATACCTAAGCAGAGTTGTGTTCACCCAAAGATTCAAGGGGTCCCTCAAGATGATTTTTAGATATCTTGTTCTGCACAACTTCTTCTCCAGGACATTGCTCTGAAAATTCTAGCCACTCCCTAGAAATTTGATGTCTGTCATCTCTTTTTGGAGACTGTTGGGTTCTATTTGCATTTCCTCTCTTTCTGCGTAGTCTGGAAATTGCCTCTAGGCAGAAACGTGGGGCAATTGTAGGGTTTACTTTAGTATTTCCCTCTGTCAGAGATCATAGTCCTGTGCTGCCAGTTGTTTAATGTCAGAAAACAGTTATTTCAAATAACTTGTATACTTTTCTAGCTGTTTATGGTAGGAGAGTGTATCCAGTAACAGATATCCTCTCTTGTGTAAAAGCAGAATTCTTTTGTTTAGTTTTAATTGCTTTTAAACTTTTTCTTAAAAAAAAAGAAAAAGACATGTTCTATGTACTCTTGCTTTTTTCATTCTATATTTTGTAATTAAGGTTCATGTTACATATAGTTACAGTTCATTTTGTTCAATGCTTTATTATATTAACTGTGTGTTTATACGGCTGTGAATTTTTCTATTCTCCTGTTGTTGAGGATTTGACTTCTTTCTGGTCTTTTGCTGTTAAGAACAGCTGTGGTGCAAATATTCTTGGATGTGTCTCCTGGGCATATACCTAGGAGTGGAATTACTGGGCCTTAACTAAAATATGTGAACCAGTAATTAGGGTTGGTGTCACTCATTTCAGACCCCTTACTGAAGCCTTCTTTCAGGCTCACTGCCTTAAAACATGTGAATGTTCAGCTTTAAAAGATAATGCTTTAGAAAAAAAAAGATAATGCTAAATTATTTTCCAAAGTAGCTATGTAAATTTACACTCCTTTCAGCAATGCAAAAGAGAATCTGTTGATGTCTCTTCTCCAGTTGCAGCACTGTCAGACACTAACTTAATTTTTGTCAATCTAGTGGGAATAAAATATCTTATTTTGGTCTTCATTTGCATTTCTCTGATTGCTGGTAGGGTTGAGAATCTTTGTACTTGTTTATAGGCAACATACTTTTCTTCCTCTGGTGACTGCTTTTTGACCCAGTTGGGCTGTTCATGGTTCTAAGTACAGAGGTAGAACTTAGAGGAATAAAAGAAAAGATCATTTTTTTAAAATTTGCTTGTTTGTTTAGAAAACCTAGCTGTTCATTGAGAAATCATCCTTTTATCTTTCAAAATATGCTATTCATGTAGTTATACCTTATGAAGACCTAGGAATTCAAGAGAAACATATTGCCTGGGTTTTGTTGAAAATCATATATATATATATATATATATATATATATATATATATATTTTTAGA